CTTCTTCCTTCCTTCCCTCCTTCCTTCCCTCCTTTCTTCTCTAGCACTAGTAATTTATATGCAATAATTGGTTCCTGAAATTGCAGTTACCGCATAGCACTTCACTCGTGCGTCTAGGTTCAAAGGATTAGCTGGTGACGTCACCATTGTCTGGAGGACACCCAATTGGGGGTTTGTTTCATCTCATTCGCAGGACGGGATGGGAACTCATCCTGCTCCATGGCTAACTTGCTAACCTGCTATCCAGGATCCTAACCATGTGAGCTAGTGTCAACCACATTATTAAATCCTTCCAGAAAATAAATCTCATTGTTACTTGATTCCAATTAATTCGGTCTCAACATGAGTCACCTGAACACTGGGGAACCATGTCAACAAAAATATCCATATAATTATAGTTCAAGAAATATATAAATATCCAAAAAAAATTAACTAAGGCTTTTAGATCAGAGGTGTCAAACTCAATTTCATTGAGAACTGCATCAGGGTTGTGTTTGACCTTGGGGGAGGGGGGCATGGCTGGGGTGGGTATTGCCAGGTTGGGTATGGCCAGGATGGCCATTCATGGCCAGCTTGGCATCACTAGTGTCGGAGGCATCTGTGGTGGCCAAGTGGTAAGGCAGGACTTCCCTCAGACTCTCACTCTCATTATAATCTCCTTCCTTCCTTCCTTCCTTCCTTCCTTCCTTCCTTCCGTCCTTCCTTCCTTCCTTCCTTCCTTTTCTTCTTTTTCCTTCCCTCTTCATTTTCCTTTCTTCTTCCTTTCCATCTTTCCATCTTCTTTTCTTTCCTCTTTCCCTTTCTCCTTTCCTGTGCTTGCATGTTCAAATGAAAAGAGGAAACATTTCTCATTTTGCTTTGTTTTTAGTTTTACTAGCTCTCTGCCAGTGAAAATGGAGCCAAGGGCCTGCATGTGGTCCTCCTGAGATAGCAATAGCAATAGCGGTTAGACTTATATACCGCTTCATAGGGCTTTCAGCCCTCTCTAAGCGGTTTACAGAGTCAGCATATGGCCCCCACAGTCTGGGTCTTCATTTCACCCTTCATTTCCTTCAAGGATGGAAGGCTGAGTCAACCTTGAGCCGGTGAGATTAGAACCACTGAACTGCAGATAACAGTCAGCTGAAGTGGCCTGCAGTAGTGCACCCTAACCACTGCGCCACCTCCAGGGTGACCCCATGGGCCAGAGGTAAGAACCCTGTGGGACGGATCTGGCTCATGGGCCTTGAGATTGACTCCCTTGCTTTAGATGTTTTTGGTTACTGGCCAATAGGAGGCACTATATGACTGGTTAAATCCTTATTGGCATTCTTCAGGAGT